GCGCCGCCGCTCCACCTCTATACATAGTTCTCACATTCCAATGTCCGATGGTGAGAACATTTTTGGGTGTCACAAGAGATCTTGTCGGACGCTGGGCTTCCCTAAGGCTTTGACCCACCATCGTCATGATGCCGGTCATGATCCCTGCTCCACCCTGGTTGTTTTGCAATATGATGTCCGTTGTTTCTGTAACAGGTTTGTTTTTCCAGGAGTAGGTTGTTAACCTTCTGCCCAACCCCCATACTTGGAGGACCAGTGGTTTTCTGTTGGGGTGTCCTTCCCCTAGACTGCGTTGGTCCACGTGACCTTGCGGTGTACCCTCCATCTGCCACCCAGGGGACGCGCCTCATACGCCGTGCAGTCCCAGCGCGAGGTCTATCTATCTATCTATCTATCTATCTATCTATCTATCTATCTATCTATCTATCTATCTATCTATCTATCTATCTATCTATCTATCTATCTATCTATCTATCTATCTATCTATATCGATCTATCTATCTATTTATCTATCTATATCTATCTATCTATCTATCTTTTAATTTTTTAATGTTTTTATCTTTTTTATGTCTTTAATCTATTTTATTTATCTTATCTGTCTATCCTTCCATTTTTATTTTATTTTTTATTTCACTTATATATATATATATATATATATATATATATATATATATATATATATATATATATATATATATATATATATATTAGAATTGTTGTTTTTATTTCTTTATGGCTTCTATCAGTCATTGCAGCAGCAGCCATCTGCTTTTCTGTGCTAAAGTCCTAACAAGTCCATCCATATCTAGGCCTGTTATGGCCTTCTCGTGAGCCAGAATGACTACATTTATTTTTCTCTGGTGTAGTGTCGTACGGCGGAACGGGGTAAGGACACGAGACGATGTGGAGAACGAGCTCTCGCACGATGCTGCTGATATTCCAATCACAAGGGAGGTCACATTCATGCGATGGAGCTGAGGAAAGGCATTCTTATACCCGTGTAGATATCTGCAAACAGTGGAGAGGTCTACAAACTCTCCACTGTTATCACCATCAGTCTTTTTTAACTCTTTCTCCAACATTATTTTGACCCTTTTTCATCAGATCTTTTCAAATTTGGGATTTCTACATGTCATTGCATTTGGGGGGCAGTAACTATTTTTAGGGGGGGCATTGCCCCTCCTTGCCCATGCCTACATCCGGGCCCGCTTTAAAAACACTGTTTAAAGGCGGTAAAGGAAAGGAAAAGACTCTTATTTTATTCTATTATGTTATTTTGTGACTCTGACGTCACCTGTGCGTGCGTGAGATCAGGTGACTGACCCAGGAACAACCTGTTCAGGACTTGGCTGGGTCCTTCAGGTGAAGTTTAGCAAAAATCAAACAAAACAAACTCCTGAATATTCTATATTTATAAGATACACATTAAATCTGAAGTAAATTAGACAATAGTTGTCTATAAATAAAGCTGTATAGGTTTTCTATCATCTTCAAACTGCTTCATAAAGAGAGAAAAGGTATAGATCATTAGTTTTTCTGAAACAGGCGCCTTGGTAAATATGTGAAGTTTGCAGTTAAAACAATAAATGGTTAAAATTAACGTAAAACCTGGAGTCGTTTGTCCAGAAATAAACAGATGGGCCGAGGATGGATGAATGATATTCAATGGCACATATTGAAATGTGAAAATATTCTTCCTGATCACAGGAAGGTTGTTGGGGACGGTTTTGCAGGAATTATAAAAAAAAAATCCTGCTTGGCTGTTTAAAATAGTTTCAGGTATAAATAAAAAAGTGACCTTCTGATTGAAGAACCCAAACAAACACGAGTTTTATTACCCTGAAGGACCTGCTGGGGGGATTTCAAGTAGTCTCGTCAGGCGGAGGCTAAATTTAAAAAGCAAAAGTAAACCCCAAAACCCAGAAATAGGAAGTTCTGGTTCTGAGTTCAGGTCAGAACCATCCAAACCAGCATCAGAACTTTGAGAGGAGAGCAAATTCATTTACTTCCTTCTAACAGACATGTGCCATCAGCTGTTTGTGCTGCAGTGCATTGTAGGTAAACCGTTGTTAGCGACATCTGAATGTTGGTTTAGATGAGAATTCACCAACTCCAGCTGAGCTGCTGTGGCGTTTCAGAGAAAAGGTCATTTCTGGTTTGTTTGTTGGATTCATTCGTCCATCGAACGGTTCCGGTAAAGAACCGCTGAACCGAAAACATTCACCACTTCCATCTGGATCCTTTTAGTCTTTAGACCATACAAATTTTGTTAGACTATTTGTTTTTCTAATATTTTATATAAAAAATTGTAACACTTTTGGAATCATTTATTGAATAAAAATAAATAAAATCAAAACACAAACGTGGACTGCATGGTGGCGCAGTGGTTAGCACTGTTGCCTCGCAGCACGAAGGTTGCAGGTTTGAAACTCGGCTGCAGCCTTTCTGCGTGGAGTTGCGTGTTCTCCCCATGCATGCGTGGGTTTCCTCCGGGTACTCCGGTTTCCCCCACAGATCACAACATGCCCTATAGGTTATAAACTGTAAGTCGCTTTGGATAAAAGCGTCTGCCAAATAAATAAACATAAACATAAAGGTGTCCATATGTGCTCTTGGCACCAGGTTACCTTAGGCTGCAGCTCGATGATGGCCGCACATCTTGGACACTCGGGTGAAGAGAGGGGAGGTGTCAACTGACCACTACCTGGTGGTGAGTTGGCTCAGATGGTGGGGGAGGATGCCGGTCAGACCAGGCAGGCCCAAACGTATCGCGAGGGTCTGCTGGGAACGTCTGGCAGAGTCTCCTGTCAGAAGGAGCTTCAATTCCCACCTCCGACAGAACTTCCAAAATAATCCGGGGAAGACGGGAGACATTGAGTCTGAATGGACCCTGTTCCGTGCCTCCATTGTTGAGGCAGCCGACCGCAGCTGTGGTCGCAGGATCGTCGGTGCCTGTCGTGGTGGCAACCCCCAAACCCGCTGGTGGACACCGGCAGTTAGGGATGCGGTCAAGCTGAAGAAAGAGTCCTATCAGGTCATTTTGGCCTGTGGGACTCCAGAGGCCTCTGACGGGTACCGGTAGTCCAAGCGGAACGTGGCTTGGGTGGTCGCCAAAGCAAAAACCCAGGAGTGGGAGGTGTTCGGTGAGACCATGGAGCAAGACTTCCGTACGGCTTCGAGGAGATTCTGGTCCACCATCCGGCGCCTCGGGGGGGGAAAGCAGTGCGCTACCAACACTATCTATAGTGGGGACGGTGTGCTGCTGACCCCTACTCAGGACGTTGTGGATCGGTGGGCAGATTACTTCGAATACCTCCTCAATCCCACCGACACGTCTTCCAGTGAGGAAGCAGAGTCTGGGGACTTTGGGTTGGCCTCTCAAATTTCTGGTGCTGAGGTCACTGAGGTGGTTAAAAGCTCCTCTGTGGCACGGCTCCAGGGGTGGATGAGATCCGCCCGGAGTTCCTTAAGGCTCTGGATGTTGTGGGGCTGTGTTGGCTGACGCGGCTCTGCAATATCGCGTGGACATCGGGGGCAGTCCCACTGGACTGGCAGACCGGGGTGGTGGTTCCCTTATTTAAAAAGGGGGACCGCAGGGTGTGTTCCAACTACAGGGGGATCACACTCCTGAGCCTTCCTGGTAAGGTCTGTTCAGGGGTTCTGGAGAGGAGGGTCCGTTGGATTGTTGAACCTCAGATTCAGGAGGAGCAATGTGGTTTTCGTCCTGGCCGTGGAACACTGGTCCAGCTCTATACCCTTAGGGGGATCCTGGAGGGTGCGTGGGAGTTTGCCCAACCAGTCTACATGTGTTTTGTGGATTTGGAGAAGGCGTTTGACCGCGTCCTTCAGGGGCCCTGTGGGGGGTATTCCGGGAGTATGGGGTACCAGGCCCTCTGATACGGGCCATTAGGTCCCTGTATGACCGGTGTCAGAGCTTGGTCCGCATTGCCGGCAGTAAGTCGGGCTCGTTCCCAGTGAGAGTTGGACTCCGCCAAGGCTGCCCTTTGTCACCGATTCTGTTCATAACCTTTAAGGACAGGATTTCTAGGTGCAGCCAAGGTGTGGAGGGCATCCGTTTTGGTGGCCTGAGGATCAGGTCTCTGCTTTTTGCAGATGATGTGGTCCTGTTGGCTTCATCAGAACGTGATCTTCAGCTTTCGCTGGAGCGGTTCGCAGCCGAGTGTGAAGTAGCTGGGATGAGAATCAGCTCCTCTAAATCTGAGACCATGGTCTTCTCCGGGTCAGGGATGAGGTCCTGCCCTAAGGGGAGGAGTTTAAGTATCTCGGGGTCTTGTTCATGAGTGAGGGAAAACTGGAGCGTGAGATGGATAGGCGGATTGGTGCTGCATCTGCAGTGATGCGGGCGTTGTACCGGTCTGTCGTAGTGAAGAGAGAGCTGAGTCAGAAGGCGAAGCTCTCGATTTACCGGTCGATCTACGTTCCTACCCTCACCTATGGTCATGAGCTTTGGGTAGTGACCGAAAGAACGAGATCACTGATACAAGCGGCCAAAATGAGATTTCTCCACAGGGTGTCTGGGCTCTCCCTTAGAGATAGGGTGAGAAGCTTGGTCATCCAGGAGGGGCTTGGAGTAGACCCGCTGCTCCTCCACAATGAAAGGAGCCAGTTGAGGTGGCTTGGGCATCTGGTCAGGATGCCTCCAGGACGCCTCCCTGGTGAGGTTTTCCAGGCACATCCAACCGGGAGGAGACCTAAAGGTAGACCCAAGACACGGTGGAGGGACTATGTCTCTCTCCTGGCCAGGGAACGTCTTGGGACTCCCCCGGAGGAGCTGGCCCAAGTGGCTGGGGAGAGGGAAGTCTGGGCGTCTCGACTTAGGCTGCTGCCCCCGCGACCCGACTCTGGATAAGCGGATGAAAATGGATGGATGGATACAAACACAAGATTTTATTGTAATTCCAACAGTCTGACAGCATTTTACTAATCCCGGTCTTTGAGCTCTATTTTAGACTCAGTGATTAAAATAAACTCAGAAATCCTCCAGGTTGAATGGGTTTTATTTCAGTGCATTTTCACACATTTGAGATGAAGAACAAACGAGCAGCGAGGCGTTTTTGGACCAGCACTGATGGGAAAACAATGATTTCAGAAGGAAACAAACTTCAGATCTTTTATTTATCTGTGAATTTATACTTTGAGTTTTAAACGTTACATATTAAAGTCAAATTCCAGATAAATATCTGATTTAATTAGACAGACTTCCTGTTCAGCAGTATTTAGGATAAAATCTGTGAGTTTCTGTAAAGATAAACGTGATCCAGCCGAGTTCAGGTGACAGAAGAGACGAGGGCGAAGCTTTTAGGAGCAGAACTCCGTCTGAGAAGCTCGTTAGCGATGAGATTTGAGACGATAGAAGAAACCGGTGGACTCAACGCGCAGCAAGCAGCACACGCTGGCTCTAGGGGGCGCTGATCCAGATGTGTGGAGTTCAGGGTCGGCAGCGCTGGATGAAGCGCGGGTACAGACACACGTCTCTGATGTGGTGTCTGTTGAGCAGCCAGGTGAGGAACCGCTCCAAACCCAGACCATAACCGCCATGAGGACACGTCCCAAACTTCCTCTGAAACACAACCAGAACCTCAAATTCTACCCTGAATGAACCAGCGCCACGGCGGCAACTCACAACGACCCGTTTGGGTCAGTTACCTGGTCGGTGTACCAGTAGTACGGAGTCGGGTCAATCCCCTCTCTCTGGTACCCCTCCAGCAGCTCATCAGAGTCCCAGATACGCATCGAACCTCCGACGATCTCCCCGACGTTCGGCATCAACACGTCCACCTGCAGACCCACAGCTTCTGTTTGAGACCCCGCTGAAGCAGCTCCGATTAGAAAACAACAACACCTGGACACGATTACGCTAGTCTAGACTAACAGCAGATTCCATTAGGGTTGTCACGGTAACCGGTGTAGCAGTAAACCCCGGTAAAAAAAAGTTGACAATAATAATAACCGTCTTTTTTTTAAAAACATATATTATCTCGGTGGATTACCGTGGCTGTGGTGTAGACGCGGTGACCCTTACCAGCCACCGTATAATCTGCTGAAGTTGCCGACGGCACATGCGCACTTTGTTGTTTACAACCAAAACTTTCTTGAAGCTAAAGCTGAAATAATGGCCAAAGGAGGAGACGGCAGCACTCAGGACATTTTTTATCCCTCAAAGAAGACAAAGTAGGAAGTACGGGCATCTTTTGGATATTTGAAGAATGCCGAGGGACAGTTGATAGAAGACGGCTATCCTGATTGCAGCACGAGCAGAAAAAGTGTCTGTGAAAGGCAGCAACGCTTCAAATCTCATGACACATCTGCGTGACCATCACCCACAACTCTACAGTCAACGCAAGGCAAGCTAACGTTAGCGTTTTAGCTAAAATGCGTGATCCGAGGAGTTGGGTTGAGGGAGAATGCAACGAGTGGCTATATAAAGCAGCTGCAGCGCTGCTACCTGCATATAAACCGTGTCGCGGACACCCCCATGTTGAAATGACACTATGCATTACGGGGCTCCCAGGGGCAGATAAGAGTTGGTCTCTCTCCGAGAATAATTATGAATTTAACAATGATTACTGCCTGATGACATTTTCCCACATCTGCAAAGCTCACTGGAAGGACACAAACCGAGGACAATATTTTCCTGATATAGGGTTTATTACTCAAGTAAGGGTAAAAAGTATCTGATTAGAAGTCTACTTGAGTACTGAGTATCACCTGATCTAATATTTTTAAAATGATGACATCAAACAGACATAAAATAAGAAGTTATGGGCAAATATTGGTATTTTAAAGACTAAAGGGGAAAAATGTAAACAAATAAAACACATAATTACAAAATAACACATTTTAGGCTAAATTTAGACACAAACTGAGGACAATACTTTCCTGATATACAGGGTTTATTTAACTGTCTGAAAATGTAAGACGTTTAAAAAAATACCGCGATAATACCGAAAACCGTGGTAATTTTGGTCAAAATAACCGTGAGGTTTGATTTTCACACCGTGACGACCCTAGATTCCATAAAAGCTTCCTTCTGAGAGATGTTCACTTCCTGTTCTTCTGACGGCGGAACTCCCCTGTGATGTTTTAAAAGTCAGAACCTCTGGGCTCTTCTCTGTTTGATCAAACCTCCTGAAGCCCATCTATCAGCTCAACTCTGCCTCCTACTGACATAAACCAGTAACTGCAGATTTACGCTCCATGATATTTTACAGAATCCTATGAAACTGCTGTGCGTAGAAACAAAACCTACTGATGATTATTATTTTATCAGGATAGAGAGCTGCTAAAGCGAACAACGATGATGAGTGCTCCTGAAGCTCTTATTTTGAAGAGCCACAGCTCAGAGTTCCGGGGGTGTTTTGTCTCCAAGAGCCTGTTTCCCACCTTGAAGCTGAAACATTCCTGGTTAGAAAGTTTCTGTCGCCTGAGAAGAAACACAAACTGGATCGGTGAGTTTCGTACCGACTCGGTGAGGCGTCGGTCCTCAGGACACCTCTGCATGTAGAAGGACTTGATCTCGGCGGGGAAACGACAGAGCAGGATGGTCTCGTTGATGGCGTCGGTCATCAGCCTCTCCGGAGCCTCGGGGATGTCCTGGGAGACGGACGGGACAGAGTCAACACCCGTAACGGGAAACGTTCACGTCACTCAGATCAGCCACATCAGATTTTATTTCACCGAAAAAGGGTTTGGCGTTTCTCACGAGACGTAAAACATTTCCAACAGACATTCTTTGGTCCGACAAATGATGCAGGTTTCTATTTGCACAGGTGACGTTTCACCTGTCGGTTGCTAACGGCGGTTATGATAAGAAGTAGGAGCACCTGAAGGAAACTCTGAAGGTTTAAGTTGGCTCGTTGTGGCGACTATTTTATCGGACCCTTGTGGACGTGAGACGTCGTTATTCTGTCAGTGATGTGAGGCTTTGAACGGTGAGTTAGACATCCATTTGGATTTGTGAGGTTAGACCAAAGTGTTTACGGTGTAGAATGGGTGTAGCGAGTTGTCCAGCAATCAGAAGGTTGCAGGTTCAATCCCGGCTCCGGACAGAGAATTCTGCTGTTGTGTCCTTGGGCAAGACACTTAACCCACCTTGCCTGCTGGTGGTGGTCAGAGGGCGTCGACGAGCCCCCGCTCAGTGAGAACAAACATCTCAGCTCTGAAGCCGATCTTCATCCACGTACGTCACACGTCATGTGATCAGGAAGCAGAACATCCATGTGTTAGGAGATCGTTTTGGGCCGCTGTTGTAAAAAAAGCGAGGCGCGAACCGGAAAAGCTTCTGCCGATCACAATTCAACAACGGATTATGAAAGAACGGATAATGCTCGAAACGCGCGGATTCTTCCTGATGTAGGAGGTGAGTCTCCTCTTTGTTTTGGTTGTTTTGGCGTCGACATCATCCTAGCGCGCAACGTTCTGTGGCTCTTAAAAAAAACAGTAAAAACGGTGAGAAACACTGGCAGTGAATGAGTTAATAAACCACTGCTAAGGGGAAAATGCTGATCTGACTCTTTAATGCAGCAGAAATGTTACAATATTATGAGATTATCTCATCACGTGTTTCTCCTCCAGCGTCCCTAAATCCAGATCCATTTACTGGCGTTTGTTTTAAACGAGTAAGGCGTGCCGTCTCTGACTGTGATTGGTCAAATGATGACATGTGACACACTATAGAACAAAGATTGTTTGTGAACAAGAGGAGTCCCCTCTCCTTTCTCTGACTGACTTCCATAAGAGTGACTGAAACCCATCGCTGAAACCTGACAGAGGCATAAGCTGGGGGGAAGGGGGTAAAGACAAAACAACAAAGGACCCCAGAATAGATCCCTGCGGGACCCCACACGAGAGAGGAGCAGAGCGAGATGAGATGCTGTTCAACACCACCCGTTGGGACCTGTTAGACAGATAAGACCTAAACCAAGTTAGGGCTGGACCACGTATTGCAGCAATAAAAGGATGTCGTGGTTGACGGTGTCAAAGGCGGCGGACAGATCGAGAAGTAATAACACAGCATAGGAGCCAGAATCAGTAGCCATAAAAATGTCATTGAAGACACGGAGGAGAGAGGACTCAGTGCTGTGCAGGGGTCGAAAACCTGACTGAAAGACATCCATTATGTTATGATGGGCTAGAAAAGTTGATAGCTGATCATAGACCACCTTCTCCAGGATTTTTGCCAGAAATGGAAGCTTGGAAATAGGGCGATAATTTAGAAAGAACCGAGGTGTCAAGGCCTGCTTTTTTTTAGAAGCGGCTGAACCACAGCATGTTTGAAGACAGGGGGTACAACACTGGAAATAAGACTGGTATTGATAAAGTGTAGGATATAACGACTTATAGCTGCGAACACCTCTTTCAGGAGGCACGGAGGAAGGATGTCGTCTGGGGAACCAGATGGTTTCATCGACAGAAGCAAAGATTGCAGGCATGGTAGGGAAATAGGTTCAAAGCTGAGGAAGGGCGCTGTATTAAAGGTTAAGGTAGGAAGGGAGTGCAGAGGGAGTGATAAGCTAGCCCTGATAGAGGAGTGATAAGCTAGCCCTGATAGAGGAGTGATAAGCTAGCCCTGATAGAGGAAACCTTATCAGAAAAGAAATCTAGAAACTGATCCGGGAGATTTGGTGCAATAACTGAGCAGGTGGACTCATGAGGGACGAGAACCGAATTAAAAGTTTTGTAAAGAACTTTTGGATTGGACCGGTTTTAGAGAAGTAATAGCTTCTGGCATGCATAACTGCTTGTTGACATTTGGACCAGAGGTCTTGAAAAATCTGATATGAAATCTGGAGGTGGTCTTTTTTCCATTTGCGCTCAGCCCGTCTACAAAGTTTTCTCAAACTTCGAGTATGAGAGTTGAGCCAAGGGTCAGATTTATGTTTGGCGTGAGCAGGTTTCAGAGGAGCAACAGAATTGACGACTGTAAGACATTTATCATCAAAAAAAGCCATTTGATCATCCAGGCTAAGCTGACTAGGCAGACCAGACACAGAAAAAGCACGGACAAAAGACCCTGCTGTTTCAGAGTTAATGATGCGCCGTAACGAACGTGATGGACAGTGTGAATGATTGTTAACAGGTAAAAAAAAATATCAAACGAAATAAGCATATGGTCAGACCAGCAGACTTCTAAAAGAGATAGATCATTTAACAACAGACTAGGTGAGAGCACAAGGTCGAGAGTATGTGAGTGTACATGAGTTGGAACTAGGGATGCACCAATACAATACTGGCATCGGTATCGACACAGAAACCAGTACTAGTATCGGTATCGGTAAAAGTTAATCGATACCAATGCAGTTGCTTGAAAATGGCTTCACAGTAACTTGCCATTTCTGTTCACCAAATATTTTAGTTTTGTGACGATTTCCATTCATATATTTTACTTTTTATCTCCCTCACAGTCTTTTCCTGTTTAAAGCAGAGAAGAAAATAAAATCTGTATTCCAAATCATCGCTTTTTTTTTTGTGTGGTAGAAGTATCGGTATTGGTAATCGGTATCGGCGAGTACTCGGATCCAAGTATCGGTTTGTAAAAAAGTGGTATCGTTGCATCCCTAGTTGGAGCATCTACAGACTAGGTCAAACCGAAAGAAGAAGAAGAAGAAATCATTTCTATAGCGCCTCTCAAGATAAGAATCACGAGGCGCTTCACAAAAACAAAAGATGTAAAAATATAAAAAAGCATTTAGAAAATGTTGAAAAATATTTTTAAAATGAGCAAAAATAGGCAATTGTGATTAAAAAAATGTAAAGAAAGAGAGAGAGTGAACAGGAAAGAGGGAAATCAGTGGATCCTGAGGAAGGTGGAATTGGTGGGGAGAGCAGAATAAAGAGAGAGAGGTGAAGAAGGTCATACAAAAAAAAAGCATCAATTAGACCAGGGATTCCCAAAGTGTGGTGCGCGCACCCCTGGGGGTGCGCGAGCTGCCGCTAGGGGGTGCGCGAGGTGAAAAGTGTAATGGCTGCGGAGCTCAGAGAAGTCTGTCATATGTCACCATTAGCGTAGCCAGAAACTCATTTGTGGGTGGGCCTAAGAAAAAGTAAGTGGGCACAATAAATGTAATTGAAAACAAGTATATTTTTGCGCGCACGTGTGTGTGTCCTCCACATGTGCCCTAGCTTCATAATAACAATGCGCCGAGCTTCAGCACTCTGGCCTGCGCACGCCGATATGTTCCGTATTTGATCATTTTTAACGGTGTTGGAGGAATCTGAAGGTGGCGAGTCATTCTGGCAGATTGTAATTAACACCTGTCTCATGCAGGTGTTCTGACGTTGTAAACCTCACACACAGAACATTGTGGATGTAACTAAATAACAAGAAATGATTCCCATTCAGGCTATTGACAACGCGCTGAAGATCTGAAGTTCAGAGTGCGTCTGTCAGAGGTCAGACGCGTTCCAGCGGAACCACGGCTCACGGGTGCACAAGTGAGCACATCTGGGCTGGGCAGAAGGAATTTTACAACATTGGTTTAAATAGCGTGAGACGCGGTGACTTGAGCGGCTGTGCCGCGCGCACACACACACACAGATTCAATAAGCGCACACGCTGCTTTAACTCCGGCGCGCCGTCAGACTGAAGGCAGAAATGAACGCTGCCTCCACCGTGATAAAAACTTTTAAGAGGTTATTTTTCATTCAAGGTCAAATTAAGATATTAGCTTCTGGGATGAGTCGGGTCCGCTCCAGCCAGTGACTCCTCATGAACCTGACCACATCTCATGTTACTGCAGCATTTGTTATTCCAGTCCGCATGACAGCGGATCACAGATTCAGCCTCACCATAAAACAGCAATAAGTCAGTCTGAGGTAAAAGTGAACATCATGGCTATATCTTGTCCCCTATTGACATTTGATTACGCACAAGTAGGTGATCAGCTCAGGTTTACGCAGAGCAGAAGGAAGGAGAGCGCTCTGGCCGCACAGGTTAAACGTTCCTACTTTAAGAAAACCGTTAAATTGCATTGTTTATGTGCTACCTGGGCACTCTAAATATTTATTTAAAATGAAATCAAAGGAAATTGTAATGGTATCGAATGCTTATTAATTACTATTTAAAAAATGAAAGTGATGGGGAATTTTTTTTAACCCTGTCTGTGTAGCTTGACATCTGATATATATATGTATATATATATATATATATATATATATATATATATATATATATATATATATATATATATATAAATGAGAGAGAGAGAGAGAGAGAGAGAGAGAGAGAGAGAGAGACAGACAGAGACGCACCCCCCCCCTGCCCTGATGTGGGGGCTGGGGGGGGGGGTGCGTTGACATGGTCGGGACATAGAAGGGGGTGCGCGGCTATATAAGTTTGGGAACCGCTGAATTAGACTAAGGAAATCTGTGACAAATGGTTTTTCCAGACAGCAGATGTGAATATTAAAGTCTCTAAGAATGAGAACACGTTGATATCGAGCAAAAATCTCAGCTAAGAGAGCAGAGAAATCAGTTATGAAGTTCTTATTGTATCTGGGGGGGGGGGGGGGGGGGGGGGGGGGCAGTTAAAAGCACTCAGTTCAAAGGAGGTCATTTCGGTGGAAAAAGAAAAAGGATTAGAGGTAAATGAAGAATTGAAAATAGTTAAAAGGCCTCCTCCACGAGCATCGTCTTGGAGAGTTTATGAATGAACATGCGGGGGGGGGGGGGGGGGGGGGAAGAGTCTCCGCTAGAGCAGCTGACTCACCCGGGGCGATCCAGGATTCCACGACGCAGAGAAAGTCCAGCGCTCGATCACGGAAAAGATCTCTTAGTGTAAAAGTTTTATTTCTGATGGATCTCGCGTTTATAAGAGCAAAGCTGATGGAGGTCGAGTCTTGATGCACATTCCGAGCCGTGGAGCAGACCGCCGATGACGTCAGCACTAGGAGAAGGTTGGCTGGGCAGATTCCACGACGGCACAGCACCATTGGCACAGAGCGGAGCTGTGGGCCCGCCGGATCCCTGGGCAACTCCAACGGGATCAGATATGGAACTGCCGGATCCAGGGATCGCCAAGAGGAACACAGGCTGGGCCCCACGCCGACAGAAATGCTGAAGGAGGCAGTTGAGCGGGCCAGAAAGCCTCTAAGCCTCACCAGTCGCCCGGCTCGACAGCCGCGATGCTTCCAGCCACGGAAGCGACACGGCATCCGACACCGGTAGAGAGGAGGTCTAGGGAGCAGCGGGCAAGAGGTATGGTGGAAATCCCTCACAGCAGGTGGAGACAGGCACATTGCCAACGTCCAGAAGAGTAGAGCGATCATACTTGATGATTGCGATTACGGGGAGAGAAAGTTCAGAAACAATAGGAGACCGCGAGGTGGAAGGCCGGCCAAAAACACTGGCGCCATCTTGCCACACCAACATCTCACCATCATGAGTTTAGCCCATCATCGATGGGCGATAAATTCGCCCAATCACCCGATGCTATCTGACCTTTGGGTTCAAAGACAAAGCTTATTCAGCGGCTTTTGAGAGTTTTGGAGAAAATTTAGACTTTAGTGAAAAACTGAACAGAAGGCCAACCAGAGTGTTCTGATGGAACGCAGACGTGAGCAGATCTGCTTCGGCCATCTTTACTTTACTCTACATGACTTTACTGGCAACAGCTTTCCCGTTTCGTGACTCGTCGAGCTCCTACTCAGCAGGTTACGCTGATCGAGACCAATCACCTCTCCGAACTCGTAATAGGTGCCGTCGTCCTTCTTGACGTCGTGCTCTCTGAGCCACTCGATGGCTTCGCTGTAGTTCATCCTCTTGAACGGCCTCTTGGGGGGTTTGAACTCCTGGAGAACAGAACCACGTCATCAGGAGGAAACTTCTGAGGGCGCGGTCGACCAGAGCGCTGCGTAAACATACCGGGTTGATGTCGTGCAGCAGCTCTGCAGCGGGGGACTTCAGCAGCCGATCCACCACGTCACACACCAGGTCCTCCAGCCGGTTCAGCAGGTCCTCGAAAGAAATGAAGGGACACTCCGCCTCGATGTGAGTGTACCTGAGCAGAGAGGAGCGTTAGCGTCACACCACCACAACGCGTGAGCAGAACAAACGCCTGCCGCTGGGGAGGGATCAGAATCAAAACTGCTGCGGATATTTCATTTTTACCCTCAAACTAACTAAAACTGTCCAATCAGAGAGCAGGAAATCAGTCCAGTGTGCTTCAGAGTCTAAATCCACTAAAGCCTGCAGCTCAGCTGAGGATTAAACGCTTCCTGGAGAATAAACCTGGTTTGGGTCAGGAGGTACCAGGATGTCCTGGTCCGGTCTGTAAACTGGATCTCTCAAGTTAAACCAGCCAGGAAGTTTTAAAGAAACCAGTGTTCCCAGTTCAGATGGCGGGTCAGATGACTCACTCAGACAGGTGCCTGCGGGTGCGGGACTGCTCGGCCCGATAGGACTGGGCGATGCAGAACGTGTCTCCCAAGGCGGGGATGCAGGTCTCCAGGTAGAGCTGGGAGGACTGGGTCAGGTAGGCCTGCTCGCCGAAGTAGTTGAGACTGAAGAGGGTGGAGCCGCCCTCCACCTGGGTCTGAACCAGCGTGGGCGGAGTGATCTGGAAAAGGTGCCCAGAGGTTATCCATCAGTCCGAACCAGCAGGTTCTGGAGCTCCAGTCATCGTTTAATACTGGTTTAGAAGGGTTAGGCTTTTAGTTTGAATTCAATGTTGATTTGATGCTGAGTGGATCTTTATTTTTAATTAAATTATATTTAACCCTCTGGGGTCCAGGGTGTAAATCACCGTTTTTGACTCATTTAGAGTTTTCCTTTGGATTTCCAAAATAAAAGCCATAACCACTGCCTTATGTGGCATCAATTTTTTCAGCACAACCTGGACTTTATGAATTTATACTTATTTTTTATGTTTGGACATAAAGGGGTTGCATATTAGACCTTAAATCACTCAAACACATGAAATCCGCATTGGAAAAAAGTTGTTTATTTTACTGTGAAACCAACAAACATTTATGACAAATTTTTTTTTTATAATTTAGAATGGTAATCTAGACTACATTTATAAAAAATATGAATAAATACAGCAAATAACAAAAAAATAAATAAAAATAATTATTAGCCCTCTGGGGTCCAGGGTGTAAATCACCGTTTTTGACTCATTTTGGTTTTTCTTTTGTATTTTCTAATAAAAACAATAAATATTGCCTCATGCGATATCATTTTTTTCAGGACAACCTGGACTATCTGAATGTCTACTTATTTTATTAATTTGGCAATAATGTACATGCATTTTGGAGAGAGAAGAGTGGCTCTGTCTCACGCCGAGATCTGACAGCTGCGCGGCGCCGCCCACTCCTCTTGTTGGATCTCCGAGGAGCTGCATCTCTGCCTTCATCCTCTACCTCATCATGACCCAACTCTTCTATGAGGAAGGATGGATCTGCCACATCGTCATCAACATCCTCGCTGTTTGTCTCAGACTCCGGCTGCGAGTCTCCGTCCACTTCCTCTGCTTCCAGTTCAAAAAACAGCCGTACTATCTGAACTGCCTGGTGGACATTTATCCTTCTCATCATCCTTTATATAAGCCTAATAAAAGCCTACTAAACTGCAGAGACAATATATCTGTCCGGATCGCTCCAAAATATGAAGTTTACCGTCAATATCTGTCTAATTGTTTGTTGTTACTCCGTTCGCGCCACTACTTTCCCCGCCAAGCGGCTCCTTTTTGCACACATCTCGTTACTCGTGCGGCCTTCCTCTCTCTCTCAGCTACATAATGATGCTTTTTATCAGCTGAATATGTGAGACTTCCACCAACAGCAACAGGATCTCATGTTTTTATGTTCACAAGCACGTTCCCTCTCACGGATTACTAAACTGCTCTTTTGACAAGTTATCAGGTTGTCTAAAAATAGGTAGTTTTTTAGTTTAGTATACCTCCGCTTTTACGTTGCTATTTAAAAACTGGGGTGTAGTTTATAATCTCCTTTTTAAAACTGAATTGAAACTGAAACTCAGGGAGGCAGAGTCTTGCTGCTACAGCGTCTCAAATCAGACCTGTTCAAAAGACGCGGATACGCATCCATGGACTCCAAAGGGTTAATTTGAAGTTTAAAGAATTTTCTGTTGGTTAAAGATCTAAATAGTTTCTCAGAACCGGTGCAGAAAGAGTCTGAAGCTTTGCTGCACGACCAAAGTTTAAAATTCAGCCGCAGGTTTAACAAAGAAACGTTCAGTTTACAGAAATGTATATTTTCCCCTGAGATTTTAGGTAAAAATGCATTAAGCTCAATATGTTTGACACACACACACACACACACACACACACACACACACACACACACACACACACACACACACACACACACACACACACACACACACACACACACACACACCTCGTAATATCCACGGCTGAAGAAGTGGTCCCGGAAACACTGCGTGACCGTGGATCTGACCCGGAGGATCTTGGAGACGTTCTCTCCTCGGATCAGCATGTGTCGGTTGTTCAGCTGCACGTCCACGTCAGACTCTTCGTTCAGCAGGTTGTCGGTGCCACCTGCTGGCGCCAAGCCGATCAGCTCCCAGAAGTCACAGTGAAGCTCGTGGCCGCCAGGTGCCTGGGAGACGAAGGCGAGGGAGAAAAAGTCCAGATTTAGATTATTCCAGCTGCACGACGTCTCACTTTCATCACCGGTTTATTTCTGTTATAAACCACAGATCCACTCATCTGCAGCGTCAGGTGTGTTTACCTGCTTCCCCTCAGGAACCGGAGTGATGGTACCGTACAGAGCCACGGTGCTCTCTGTAGACAGAACCAGGCCGTGGTAGCACTGACACTAAAACACACACACACACACACACACACTTTGGATTACAGATTAACCTGACATTCCACTGAATGCACAAGCGTCGCGTAACGTCTGCAAAGTGCAAAACACGGCTAACGACGCTAACTTTATGCTTCAGGTCTATTTTTTTTTTTGCTTCCAGAAGACGACGAGCTCACCAGTTCAGATCGAGTCAAACAGGAAGTCAAACACAGGAGCAGTGTCAAACGTGCCAACTTTCAAAACAAAAGTCACGTGCAGATTTCTGACTGCCTAACTCTAAACGGAACACGTCGTTACCTGTGACGCGTCCTTGTCAGAGGTCAACGGAACAGAAAGTAAACAACGGACCGTTTGGATCTAAGCTCCCCATCTTTCTCTTTGCTAATTAACGCGTGAACTGGTGAAATCACACGTGAGCTCACAATTATCCCGTGACTTTGCGGACACAGCCGCTTTTGCATGGACGTGCTGCTAAGCATGCTGGGAAAACGAGTCTATTACGTTACACAAACAATGGAAAGCCAACCGATCCTGGACCGGGATCCAGATGTTCCTGTGGTTCTGGATCCAAAGTTCTCCAGAACTTCAGAGCTGTTCAGTTCCGGTACCAGAACATTTCAGAGGTTTGCTAATAAGAACTCAACCCCATGAATTAATCAGGCAATAAACTGGCAGCATAACTAAAGGGATGAGCCAGTACCACAACACAACAGCTGATTTGGATCAGATCTTATGGAAAACATCAAAGACAGAAAAAACTTTAGATTTTAGCTTCAGCGAGGTCGTTTCTTCAGCTGAAGGACGTTTCAGGTTCTGCTTCTGAACTCTGATGAGTTTTGATCCCGTTTCAGAAACGGTTCACCTGTAATTCAACCTAAAACTCTCATTTTTGTTTCCCGCCTTAAAAAATGTTCCACCCTGTTCAGGAACAAGAGCCAGAGCTGAGGAGTCAAACAAAGCGGGAAATAGCTTCAGAAGGTGTGGAGGACTAAATGAAAGCATTCCAGGAAAAGGAAAGAGATGAGATCTGGATCAGAACCCGAGTAAAAACAAGACGATACCAGTTTATCAGACAGAACGCTCTGGAGGAACCCGGTTCCATCCCGCAGCACGATGAACATCAGGTTCTTCCCTGTGGGAGAGAAAACATCAGTGGACTCGGAGCTCCAGGTGGAACCAGACGATGGGTTGTGGTTCTGTTCTCACCCTGCCGCCGGAGACGATGGACCCATCCGAACACTTTGACCCTCTGACCTCTCTTGGCCTCCAGCTGGTGGATTTTAACCTGAACAAACAGTCCGACCCGTTAGTTTAATCACCAACATTCACGCAGTAAAACTTGTTTCATCATCAGAAAATGACAAAGAAATTAATAATTAGTTTTACTCCAATCAGACTAAAAACACTCAATTACCATGAAATAATGAAAGAATCTGACATCATTTTATAACGGTTTATAGCTCACCACCACCAGTGTGTGAATGTTGGTGTTAAATGATGACTGATACACTGTAGTGTAAAGCACTTTGGAGTCCTTACTCTGTACAAGTGCGGGTCATTTATGTTTCTCCACTGGAAGCTTAAAAACCGCCTGGTGGTCGAGAGCCGGCACGACCCGAATAAAAACCTAAAACACTAAAACCATCTAGAAAAGTTTCAACTCTAAATTATTATTTAATATCAAGTGTTTATATTATTCACTTATTCAGAAACACTTTAGTGATCTCAGAGGAATTAGGATTTATATCAGATTATGTTCTACAATCTTTAATAAATGACAATATTTGTCTCAATGTGGAATTTAAGAGTTTCATTACTGAGCTTCTTTTTATATTTAACATTATTTTGGAACTGCCTTTATTATTATCATCATCTTCATCCTTATAATTATTATTGTAATTAATAATGTTTCTAGTAATTGTACCATTATTATTATTACTAAATTTATTAATACTATTATTATAACTAATATCATTACTATTATTACTATATTTATTATTACTACTACTACTACTACTACTATTAGTAGTAGTAGTAGTAATATTGTTACAACTAATATTATCATTACTATTATTATTACTATGTTTATTACTACTACCATTATTAGTAGTAGTAGTAATATTGTTACAACTAATATTATCATTACTATTATTATTACTATGTTTATTACTACTACCATTATTAGTAGTAGTAGTAATATTGTTACAACTAATATTATCATTACTATTATTATTACTGTTTATTACTACTACTACTATATTATTAGCAGTAGTAGTAGTACTAATATTGTTACAACTAATATTATCATTACTATTATTATTACTATATTTGTTACAACTACTACTAGTAGTAATATTGTTAAAACTAATATTATCATTACTATTATATTATTACTATATTTATTACAACTACTACTAGTAGTAATATTGTAACAACTGATATTATAATTACTATTATTATTACTATACTTATTACTACTACTCTTATTATTAATAATATTATTGTTACAACTGATATTACAAATATTTTTAGGATTATTGTTATTTATACTATAATTATTACTACTACTCTTATTATTGTTATTATTATTGCTACCAATACTATCATTATTATTATTGTTATTAATACTATAATTATTACTACTACGCTTATTATTATTGTTATTATTACTATTACTATTATCATTTGAAATATTTTCCATACTTTTTTGAAATAGTGTTTACTGCATATTTGGACGTTTAATTTTAGATTTCTCACCAGAACTTTTCAACGTCCACTCTAACTTCATATCTGATGGAATCGCACAAAGTCCGAAAGAACCCGAACTCGTAGAAATTCTAAATGTTTTCTAACAGATGAAACTCCTGAGCTGATTGCGGATGAGTAAAGAAAAGCTTCGGAATCGAACCGTTTCTGGTTCCGGCAGGTTTGGGTCCTTCGTGACGAGTATCTTCTTGGCCTCCTCCAGGTTCCTCTCCCTCCTCTCGTTGTCTTCAGCCTGAACACCAAAACAAGTCCTGAGATTTTTCTAACCCTCTCCAAACCAGAACCAGAACCCACTTGCTTCACCTCTACAGACCTCTTTCTTGTCTTTGGCATCGTTCTTCATCTGCTCGCGGTTAAAGGCCTTCTTAGCGTTCTTCATCTGGGTTTTGGAGATCACCGACCAGCGCTGACCAAAACAAAGGCAGGTAAAGAACAAGAGAAGAAGAAACACAGGAAGTTGTTAGAGCGGCGGCGGGACTCACCTCCCCCTCCTTCTGGGACTCCACATAGACAGTCGGGAACGGCTCCTTCCCAGCGAACAGCAGCGCCTGACGGGATTCAACAACAGGAAGTGCTGACAGGTAAACGACTGGTGGACGAACTAAAGCAGCGCCATCAGCATCTTTAGACCCACACGCACCTTTAGAGGAGTTCTGAAGGGTTTCTGCTCAGAACCGTCTCCGTCCTCGTCGCTGCCACATTTATCAGACACGTACAGCTCGGCTGCAAACAAACGTTACCATGACAACGTCAAATGCCCTGAAGACAAACCTTTGATTTTACTAACAGTAGCGATGTAAGAAAACATTGATCTAGCAACATGTCGTGGTGTTATTTCCTGCAACATTATATATCGATATTTGACAGCTGTGCATTGAATTTTTGGAAGAATTTACATGCAAACATTTGTGCATTTTCTTTTCTCTTGGTGCAATTCAAACGTTAACGCTAGCTGGCAGCAGTGTGCCATGGGTTTTGTTTCCACCACTGAAATGTAAATCCCTCTATAATGGTGCAGATACCTCATGTTAAACATGTGAAGTATCAGTTTAGATTGTTTATTGAATTTTCCCACAATAATTTGTCTTAAAAATATCACTAATATCGTCTGGCTGAATGTATCGCAATATATCGTATCGCCTCCTCTGTATCGCGTATCGTATCGCCTCCTCTGTATCGTATCGCCTCCTCTGTATCGTATCGCCTCCTCTGTGTCGTATCGCCTCCTCTGTATTGTGTATCGTATCGCCTCCTCTGTATCGCATATTGTATCGCCACCTCTGTATCGCGTATTGTATCGCCACCTCTGTATCGCGTATCGTATTGCCGCCTCTGTATCGCGTATCGTATCGCCTCATCTGTATCCCGTATCGTATCGCCAGTATGTCACCAATACACATCCCTAACTGTTTGTGACCAGAAGTTTTGCTCCAAGCGACGAACACAGACAGCAGGGAGGGTGAAGCGTCTTCCCCAAGGGCACAACGGCAGAATGACCAGGAATGAGGTGGGATCAAACCGACAACCCTCTGATTACTAGATGTACTGCCCCTGATCATGATTTAAAAATAGGAACTTGGTCACAGATTTAGGTCTGACTCATGGATCTTCTTTCTCTGTGGGTGTGTCCCTTCAGGTGTCTCCACAACCAATCATCTCTCTCCATTTAGTCATGTCTCCTGCGTCCTCTACCCTCACACCAACTAGCTTCGTGTCCTATTTCACCTTTTTGGTCAGTATCTCAGCCTCCTGCCTCCCTCTGATGGGCTTGTTCCTGATCATCCTCATCTCTCCCAAAGCGAACCTCCGGTTCTGTCCTCCTGGCTTGTCCTCACTGACACCGTCTCTAACCAGACAACCGTCTTCTACACTTTTCTTTTCACTCTTGCTGACAACCTGCTTCACACGCTTCTCCTCTCTAGACCCCCCAAGTCCTTAAAGATCAACCTCCTTCATTTCTACTTATACCAGAGATCGTTGCATTTGATGTCTTCCTAAACAGAAACTAAAAGGAAAAGTGAAGAAATGTGTTGAGCTCTGAAGCTTCCTGTTGCTCAGAGTCTCGGGACAGAAAAAGTGACGAAAAACAGAGTCAGTGGTTAAACGGTTAACATCTGATGAAACACCGGGCCTGAACAGATGATTTCTCTCTGAATCCGGAACAAATCCACCAGAAAATGTCTCTCTAATTCAAGCTGCTTAACGTTTATCTTAGTTAAATAAAAACATAAAGTTCAAAATGACCAAAATGTCTCTAAAGCCGAATTTTAAACCAGAATCTTAATTCATAATTTTCTATAGCAGATCTCAGGTTTATCCATCATCATATTTATCATTTGAAGCAGTTTGGTCCAGTTTACTTTCTAATTTTGTTTACTTGTATAATAATAAATCCTACTTGTATAATAATAAATCCCACAATAACAATAATAACAACAATAATAATACTACTAATAATAATATCGGTGATTTTAACTGACAAATTTCGGTTTCATTCACGTTCGCACCACTAATGACAGCTGCTTTAGCTCAGCGTTAGCCTGTTAGCTCAGGCTTTATCAACTGGTTCCATTAAGCCTGGTGTTCGACAGGTTCGGTCAATGTGAAACGGTCCCATACGAATCTAAAGAACCAGAAACCGGCAAACCGAGCTGCCCTCACCGCTGAATGAATCTGACGAAACACACACATGTAGCTAGCGAAGCAGCTAGCTAACGCTGGCTGAGCGTATTCCGTTTCTTACCCACTGATACTTTGTCCACACCTTTTGTTATGTCGGTCGCCATGTTGACCCGCGTAAAATAACCCTCTGCTGAAGATGAGACGGTGGTTTTATAACGAAAAGGTTAAAAAAACGGACCCTAAAAGCTGACTGCAGGTGACTTCTGCTGTACCTAACACGCAACTTTGCGTCAGCTCTGCCGCAGCTCAGAGGAGGAGGCGGGGATTTTTCCATTTGGGGATATCTTATTGGCTAGCAAGTCAACGTTACTTCAATGACAATAAATCTGATTGGCTATAATTAATGCCTGAACATGCTACATTCAAGAAAAAACTAGGCTGAGAAACCACTGACTGTAGAAAGACAACTTCTTATTGATCCCATGAATAACAACAAAGAAAACATGCGTCAATATAATACAATTATTTATAGGGGTTTGAATATGAATAGTACACTAAAATAAAATAAATAGAAGTTTGGAGGAAATAAGTCCCGAAATCCTCGGATGTCTTTGAATGTAGCACAACGGAAAGCTCCGGTAAATTCTAAAACTTAACCATAAAATTGGAAGCTGAGTAATCATGAAACTCTTTAAAACCTTGTAACCTGTTGGATTTACCACTCGGTGTAAAAACGGTTGTTTTTCAACAGTTGTTTTCTGTAATAGTATATTATTAGGCTACTACTAATACTATTATTAGTCTCTTCCAGTGAATGAGCAAGAATCAGCTGCTAAATTATTTATTCACTTATTTATTCAAACATTATAAAATATTACATTACATTTTATTAAAAGAATAATAAAGAAAAGCAAAAAAATATTAAATGATTAAACTTACTGATAGTAACTAGTTAAAAAAATCAAAATTAATGCATAATAGGCAAATAAAGGAATAGAACAAAGGAGATCTTATTTTTATCAGCAATTAGTTCTTTGTATAATTGTTTGAATAACAATATTTGTTTGTTTTATTCTTTAATATGAACTTTGCTCTAATTAGCATAATTAAATGTTCAAGAACTGTTCTAATTAGGAACAGTACAAGATGGAACCCATATATGATCAGGGATGGTCAAAATAAAGTCAGAGCAATTTCCCATTCAGCTGTCGGTGTGACTGATTAGAAGGTGACCAATCACACCAGGGCAAGTGGATTTCCCAGTATTCCCATCCAATCTGTCAAAGTGAAACTGGAGTTCTACTTGTCTGTTTGGTGTTTGTCACAGATTCTGATTCACAAATCCTCTCTAGACGTGATCAAAATTACTCAAAAGCCCAAATCTCCACTTAAGATAACGTTAGTTGTGTGAATTTAGCAGAGCCACCAAACTCCGTGAATGAACCTAATCCTGGGCAGACATGTTGGGTGACCGTGGTCTGGACTCTGTGGAGGAGGGTCATCATGGAGTTGTGTACGCTATAGAAGGACAGGACTCCTGCTCTGTGGTCCAGGTACACTCCGACTTTGTCGACCACCGACCCGAGACGGGGTTCTGATGCTGTTGTGTCTGAACTCGTAACCACCGTGAGAACACCACAAAGCCCAGGACTTGTCGTTGTTTCCAAAAACACTTTCATCCCCATTTCTGTTTATATCCTTGTATGCAACTGCTACACAAATGTCAAGCTCCACACCAAAAACTTGGTCGTGCTTCATCTTCACCTCCAAGTAGCAACTTCCAGTCAGAAGCTCTCGACACAGGGTCTATTGGCCTCTCCTGGGTAAAGTGTTGAGACGCACACACACTCCTCCAGCTAATTTCAAAGGAATGTTTCATCCTTAGGTAAGCCTTTTTCAGCGTAAAACTCATAAATCTATTTCTCTGGGTTCTACTTTTAGGTCTCATTACTTAGAAAACTTCCAGAACAGCCTTTGCTCAGAGAAATAAAGTTTACCTGCATTAGGATTGATGAGCTAATGGCTAGTTGATCAGACATTTTTCTATGAATCCTTTACACCATCTTTGGAACAAAAGTGCTGTGGTTTTTACAGAATTCTGATGTTCTTCTCATCAATATTCCACCACTGATCCAAAGTCGGGTTGTAGAGGAAACCCCAGACCTGGACTCCCTCCAGCTCCTCCTCATGATTCCCGAGGCATTTCCAGACAAGAGGATTTATAATTCCTTCAATGAGTCCCGGTCCTGTAAAACCTGCAGGAATATTCTAGTCAGGTGCCAGGCCCGCCTCAGCCTACGGAGGAGGATCGCATCGGCTCAGATCCAGGTTCGGATGAGCTAGACGTAATAATCTGGATTTCTGCTGGTTAAGTTTTAGCCATGTTGGCCTTAACGTGCGCTTTTGGTTTTGATGTGTTTTGTAGATTTCCTAAATGTTCCGAACCACTTTGTGAATCAGTTTCTGCGACAACAGTCAAATGAAATAACGGTGACTGAATCAAACTCAGCTGTGTTCGATTAGCCGTTAGCTCAAAAAAGACCCCGGATTGTAGATGAACGCGACTTCAGCTGAACTTTAAACGTTCAGGTTTGAATCACACCAAAACGCCAAAAACAAGGAAGCAGGCTCGACAGACGTGCCTTTGAAAAAGGATTGTATTTTATTTACAGCGATTGGACAGAATTACAATACAAACGACGTAAAGAGCAGGTCTCCAGAGGAGGGAGGTCGTGTGGGCTTCCTTGTTCCTGGCAGCTGGGTGTGCGGCAGCTTCGGCAGACGGAACGTCCTCCTCCTCCCGCTCTTCTCATCGTCCCTCCCCTGCTCCTCCTGCTCAGTGACTTTCACCTTTCTTCCCAACAACCTGCAGGACAACAAACGAAACGCACCTCGGATGAAGCCCAACCGGCTGGAAAACTGGGCTGAAGGAAACAGAAACAGACGGCTCTGCAGCTCCGTACCCGCTTGAAGTCGTTCATGTTGGTGGCTTGTACCGGGGTGCCGATGAACGTCAGGTAGGTGATTTTTGTTGTCTCCTCGTCTCCGAGGTTTGATTTGACAAACAGCTGACAGGAAGAGGAGAGAAACGGTTATCCCAATACTCGCATAAAACCACACATGTAAAAATACTGAACAGGAAGCTGTAATAAACTGTGTTTATAACAGATACGAGTCATTCCTGTGGCATTTATCGTGACTATATCCCAAACAATAAAACATCTGGCTGATGGCATCATGGCGACATCACTCATCAGGTTTAGTCCCGGTTAGCGATGGGTACCCAATTCGGTACTTTTTAAGGTACCGACCGAATTCCACAGTACCGACTGAGCACCGACTCACGTCATTTGAAACGGTGCCTCGTTTCGGTACCCGTCCTTCATAACGAGAACTTGCCTAGACAGCTGCGCATGCGCAAGAGCGTTATGTCGTCGGTCGCTGCGAGCCAGTTGTAAACAGAGCAGCATGGTAGAAAGAACGCACGCTAAAGCTTGGGTCCACTTCACTAAATGTGATGGGTAACTGGGTGATGATGAAACCAGCGACAACGATCTAAGTGAGATCCTCATCTTAATCTGCTCCGGTAGGTAAATAAAATGTTTAAGATAACGTTAGCTTGATATGTTAGCTTCCATTTTGCTAACGGTGCGTTCGCTTTCTCCTCGGAACTCCGAATTCCCGACTAGAAGAACATGAACGCGTTCTAAAGTTTGGCTTCACTTTACTAAATGCGACGGGTGATGGGGTGAAGATGAAACCAGCGACAACGATCTAAGTGTGAGGCATCATCGTTTTAATCTGCTCCAGCAGCTAAATAAACTGTTTAAGATAACGTTAGCTTGATATGTTAGCTTCCATTGCTACCATTGTTATCAGCTAATGGTGCGTTCGCTTTCTCCTGGGAAATTCTAACTTCCCAGTAGGAAAAATCAAAAGAAAAAGGACGGCAAAAGGAATGAAGATACACAGTAAATTTAGTTCACAGTAAAGATGTTTGCTTCAGTTTAATTATCAGCTTATAAAACTACAAGGACGATGTTAACTACAAGGACTCGTGACTCACGTCAAGAGTCTGGGTGTCATTCTTGACAGCTCACTTTCTTTTCAGGCTCACATTAATAACATAATTCGGTCAGCATACTTCCATCTACGTTCCATAAACCGTCTCCGTCCCTCACTGACCCCTCACACTGCCGCCATTCTCGTCCACAGCCTCGTCACCTCCCGTATCGACTATTGCAATTCACTTCTTTATGGTCTTCCCAACAAACTCCTTCATAAACTGCAACTGGTCCAGAATTCAGCAGCCCGTATTATCGCCAGAACCCCTTCCTTTCACCACATCACCCCGGTTCTACAGCAGCTTCACTGGCTCCCAGTTAAATTCAGGTCCATCTTCAAAATTCTCCTCCATACCTTCAAAGCAATCCACAACCTCTCTCCTCCATATATCTCAGACCTTATAAGTATTCACACCCCATCCCGTTCACTCAGATCTTCTTCTTCCATCCATCTTGCGGTTCCTTCTGCCCGTCTCGCTACCATGGGGAGCAGAGCTTTCAGCCGCTCTGCTCCCCGTCTCTGGAACTCACTTCCCCCAGACATCAGGAACATCGACAGTTTTACCCTTTTCAAAACAAAACTCAAAACACATATGTTTTAATCTGCCTACAACCTCTGATTTTATTGAACTGTTTCTCTCTTTGTTTTTTCTTGTTTGGGTTTTATTATTGTTCTAATGTATTTTATCATGTGTTTTCTGTAAAGTGACCTTGGGTGTCCTGAAAGGCGCTTTTAAATAAAATGTATTATTATTATTATTATTATTAAAATACAAACAGTTGTATGTTATTTATCGTGATATTTATCAAATATGGTTACATATTGAGAAAAATATATATTTAATTATAAAAGAGAATTAAAATATTAAACACTAAAAAGTATCGAATATTGGTACCGTTAAGTACCGGTATCGATTCCTAGGTACCGGGAATTAGTACCGAATCGATTCAAATGTCAAAGGTACTCATCCCTAGTCCCGGTGAAGTTTCTGGTTTCTCACCGTCACGCTCTGGACGTTCTGAAACTTGACGTAACGCAGAGGAATCAGACCGTCGTCTTTGTAGTCCTCCTCCGACAGCTCCAGAGTCTGGGTGGCTTCGCTCCGCTCGGCGTCGTCGAAGCCCATCGACCGAGGAAGATTGATGAACACCTTCATCACCTTCGGGGCTTGGGCTGAGGAACGGGGAGATGGAGGGACGTTAGAAAACCCTTTTCTCTGCTTGGCTTCCAGACCAGAGGAGGAAACCCACCTAAGTCCGAGCACTGCAGCTTCATGGAGAAGAGCTTCACGGGCTGGTTGAAGGCCATCGTTATCAAAAACTAAATGAGACAAAAAAAAAAAAGGCTAAATGAGTTTAAAACACTAGAACCAAAGTCCAGTAGGGATGTTTGTTTTGTTTAGTGGTTTGTTGTGAGTTTGGGGCCCAAAAACCCCACAAACACTTTATTATTATTATTATTACACAATTTCTAAACATCTGAGAGTTTTCTACATTTTAGTAAACTGCAGAAAGGCAAATATAAGAAACGAAAACATAAAGTACATTTTATAGATCCCATTAAAAACAACCTGGTTGATCTAGAATATTTGTTTTGTAAGAACGAGGTCATCATGGCGTTACCTGCTCGTCGCAGTCAGACTCCAGGTAGGTGGAGTCTTTGACTAAACAGTTGTCGAAGCCGCAGTCGTCGCTCTCGTTCAGGCACTCGCAGCCGGCTTTGTTGACAAACGGCATGAGGTCCATCTGAGCGGTGGAGGAGAAGGAGGCAGACGTTAGTCACGTTTGTCTCCTCAGGTCACTTTAAACTGGGACCTGAAGGTCCGACTCGGCTGTTTGGAGGACCTAAACTTCTGTCGTGACTAGTGGATTTTGTCCCACCGGTTCCTGCTAGCGATGCTAACACAGGTTAACTTAAAGGCTTCTTTCGATTGAAGAGCTAACAACTGTTTCTACCTTCTGACACCCAGAGCTTCTGCTGGAAATCTAATTAGAAAACATCAGATTAGTGAAAATGATCCTGATTTTCCTTCTGCTATCTCCACTTCTGAGTCCCTGTTGGATTGCACACCTCACCAACGCGGCTTCGGGTCATGTGGTTTGTTTTCTACAGACAGAAAATCCCTTTGTTGTCGTTTCTGTAGCGACTCACGTATCCCTTTGGAATGTCCGAGTCCTCGTTACTTCCCGGGTCGTTTTCCGTGTGCTGTTTGATCTTCTCCTCCAGGCCCGTGGCGTCTGCCCCCTGATACTGATCCACCCGAACTCGGTTCCTAAAGAACAAGAACGTGGGCGTGGCTGAGATGTTGTTGGCTGCTGCCGTCCCCTAAAGAGGAAGAAAAGAAGTATTTTTTTCTCCAACTCTGCGATTAAAACAATAATTAATCCAGTCACACAGAAGCATTAATGTCTTTTAATTAAACCTCATTTTTTATGCTCTGATTCTGGTGTTTTTGGGTAAAGGTTACAAACGATTCCTCTGCCACCAGGTGTGGACAGCTTCCTGAACAGCCTCCGCTCAGAGCAATAAATGTAACGCCCTCCACGATTGATGAGCTAACAGCTAGTCTACTTGCAGCTATCTTAATACCTCCGTATTAAAAACTTCCTGTTGGAGTCGTGACTGCTGCATTTTGCTGATGCAGGTGATGTTTAAACGTGTAAATCTCAGGATTCACAGTAAAGGCCGTTTTAAGATGGCAGCACGCTGCTCACGGACTAGCCACTAGCATTTCAGTCCTACAGGACTGATGGTCCCCTTCTCCAAACAGAGGCCACTCAGAAAGCTATTTGATATCTATTTATAACTTTTACTCAGGCCTACAGTGACTTGTTTATTAGGATGATCCCTTTACGAATTAGAAAACTGGTCAGAATAATCACCACAAAACAACCCAGGCTTCAAAAGTAGCGAAAACAAACTGAAGTTACTGAATAACAGTCAGCTCAATAATAACACAGCTTCTACCAGGTGTATTGTACTCCACTATTTTACCTGATGAGGACGTTTTAATGTGTGAACACCATGAGGGGGTGTCAGGTGTGAGATCTACCTGGCAGACGTGAACATCGACCTCCAGGAAGGCAGCCTGTGGATACTTATTGCTCAGCATGTTGAAAGCTGGAGCTATTCTGACGCAGGGTCGACAGCTGAGGAGGCAGAAGGAGAAAAGTTGATCAATAATTCGCTATTAATAAACTAAACAGAATATTAGCCGCTGTAGTTTCGCTTTTCCCGGTTAAAAAGCCACGTGGCTTCATTAAAAACCCCACAGACTGATTAGTCTCGTTACTTCTTACTGTGATACTGCTATGTCATTGTAGGCAACACAGCTAGGTAGCTACTGGCTAATGTTAGCATGGAAGCTACACCCGTATAAAGATGGTATTTAGCGAAGTGCCGCTTCTTAGATCAGGTAAATCTCCCACCACCATATTAGCTAAAAGAACGAACAAACCATGGAGAACCGATGTGGTGAGCTTAGCTTACCCGGCCATGGTGAACTTCACCACGGCTAGCCTGGAGCCGGCGGCCGCTAACTCCGGCTGGAAGTCCGGGTCGCTCCCGATCACTTTAACACCGACCATGGTGCAGAGTTAGCGACTCAGGTCAGAGCTCGATGCCCCGGGCGGTAATCCGAGCAGAGACAAGAGAAATTGATGAAAATTGGGTGTTTTGTTTTTAGCTTTCTGTCAGAAAATTAGCTGACTGGAGGAGCACACATCTGGCACGGTGAGCTGCGTCAGGATGGAGCGTCCTGATTGGCCCAAACGTGACATGAAAGGCGGGGCTTCTTCTTCTTCCTCCTCTGTAACTTCAGACAGCGCCCTCTGCCGGAAACAGAACAAACAGACATCAGGAGAATGGATGGAGGTACATCCAGGCTTTGTAAAACAGTGTTACTTGGACGTTTGCCCTTTCAAGACTCATTTAATCTTCTGTTTTGTGAGAACGTGTGTTTAATCACTAGCAAAGTAATTGTAAAACAGCCATTAGCTAAAAACATGATGACTTGAGGTCTTTGGTGAGTTTTCATAAACGATTCACTTTAAAACTCAATTCATCTGACGAGGATAGTTTATGTATTTTAGTAACGAAAATGATTTTCTGCTTGTCAAACTGTGCTGTTATTTTTATTCAATTAAAAGTAAATAAAGAAAAGTGTACAAATTGTGTGTCTGCAAATGTTAAACGGTTTTCACACAACACAGCTGTAGAAGTTTTCATAATATTTATTTTCATGCTAAGCTCTTTATGTACAAAAAATGAGCTGAAATGGAAAGTAAAAAGCGACTGATTTTATGTGCATGAATAATATAGAATTACATAAGATAAATGAGTATCATAAATAGACATAAAAGACATTTATCCAAACAGTAAAATACAGAGAAACAACACGTTTCTGCTCCTACTAATAATTTTCATAAAAGAAGCAAGAGTTCCAATAATAGAAGCAGGTTTGGAAAGCCCCGCCCACAAACCCCTCACCTGGTTCAATTAAGAATTCAATTACACCCCTTTACCTGCGCCTCACGTGAGCAGAACAGCGCCCCCACTTCCGCAGGTGAAGCCTCCACCTCGCTGCTGCTGCTGGCAGGCTGCTCTTGCTTGGGGGCTCGGAGGCGTGGGACCGGTTCGGCAGGTTTGTGCGAGGCTGAACAGGTGAGGAGTCCCGGGGAGAGAAGGGCGGGGTGCCGCAGAGACGGAGCAGGAAGCAGCGGACGCTATGGTTCGGTAACACGGACACGAAAACACGGACGGGAAACACGATTTTCAGCTCAAACGGATCCACTGAAAGGCGGGGTGAGTCCAGAACGGTTCGTGTTTGTGTGTTCCACCTGCTTACCTGGAGTCTGGTTGTTTTAAGTATAAAACTAAAACGGCTCACGAGGCAGGACCTCACCTGTCTCACCTGTCGGCTGATGAGCCCAACACCTTTCCTTGGTAGGCTGGATTATTTACGCAGCATCGTTCTAAACTAACACCTGGTTCCGAACCCTTGGGCTCGGTTCGATCACAGCGGGTCCCAGAGGAGATGAAGAGCTTCCGGTTTCTAGTTTAATCCCTAAATAATCTCGTTTCTGTGTTTGGGGGGAAGCAGCCAAACAACGATGCGGATTAGTTTTAATTAGGTACAAATAAAACTGGCTCATGAAATTAGGTTTTATTAGTTTTTATGTTTCAATCTAAATGATTAGAATTTGAATTCACGAAATTTGTAAATTAATTTTAAATGTTTTAGATTTAAAATCTAAACTCGGGCATCAAATCTATTAAGATTCTGTTTTATTTGCTGCTGAAGCTGCAGGGAAAACCAGTATGACCGAATGAAAAGGGAGTGTGACACAGACGATGGGATGCAGGATGTTTCCAGATATTTTTAAACAGATTTCGTTCACTCAGTTTTGCTTTGGTCCTAAAAATGTAAAAACTTTTGGTTATTTTTAGTGTTTTAGTTCAGTTTCACGTGTTGACAGCAGGGTGAATTAGCAGGAAAGCCCTTTGGGTGCCTGTTCTATAATCATCTAATCAAATATAAATTTGTGGCTCAAAAGGTAACGATTAATATCGCAGAAATGATTAAAATCAGATTTTTAGCAAAAATCTTCTGCAAACTAATTATTTGAAACCTGCTGGTATTTAATCTGGAAGTCTCACAACCTGCAGTGAAAGTTAATGTTTTATTTTGGAGTCCCGCTTTGCTAAAGTTCTCCATATTTTTTATAATCAGTCAAAAGAGCGTTTAAACCCGTTTAACAGAGACGAGGAGGAATGTTTTTCACATTTGGGATGAAACTTATTGACAATAAAATTTGCTAGAAAAAAACATCTTTTGACATTTTAAAAGGAGAAATAAAAACTTTCAGAATTTAAGTTTTGGTTAATAAAAAAACTCACAAAAGGATGAAAGTATCAGCTAAAATCATCCAGATGTTCTATTAAAACGACGACAGACTTTTTATCGGTGCTTTTTTAATCGTTTTTTTGTTGCACGCCTGAAGTTTTTCAAGCCAAAGTTCATTTCAGACACTTTCTGAGTTCTCTGTTGTATACGCTTAAGTATTTTCCCAGAAGACCTTTACCTGCCCCCAGGTGTGCTGTTTTACCATGCCGGGGGGGGGGGGGGGGGCGGTGGCAGGTTAGAATTTTGCCCTGTAACTGGAGAGTTGTTGGTTCAAGCCCAGGCTCCGTCTGTGTTAGCCATTGTGCTTTTAGGCAAGACACTTCACCCTCCTTGTAGCCCATCACCACCTGTGTGTGTGCATGTGGGTCATACGGAGAGAACCCTGTTGTCTATGTCGTTTGGGCTGGGTAACGGACCGTGGAACTTCTGGTTTCACTTCCTCCTCACTCTTGAGCTCCTGAACCTCTAAAAGCTCCTGAAACGCCCCGTCTGCCCGTTTCTCTTCCGACCCGACACATTCCGGTCCCTCCGGGCTCCTCGCCTCGGCAGGGCTCGTCTCTGGAGGTGAAGAAAGTTTTCAGGACTTTGTTTAGGGAAATGTTGAACTTCTCATGGAAATTTTCAACCTGGAAAACTGCGACAGAGAATTTGAATCGTGACTTGTGAGTCAAATACTCGAAGGAAAATATGAGGGGAAGACGCAGGCGTGTTGAGTTCAGATGAGATCAGGCGAACTTCAGCCGTTCTGTATTTTATTGTCTTATTTGAATCCGACTTCAGGTCTTTTAAACTCTTCATCCACGTTATAAAGAATCACCTGCTGCTGCTCTTTATTCAGGACCAGTTTTAACCTGTTAGAAGCATCGTACCAGATAGGGATGGTCAATATATCAGCATCAATATCGGTATCGGCCCATGTTGATCATTTTTTAACATATCGGTATCTGTTCGATAAATACAACCGGGCCGATGTTAATGACCGATATTTTTTCCATCTTGGCTCCATTCGCTTGCCTGTTTCAGCGGGTGAGGGGGGTGATGTGTAATTACGTCATGTGAACAGTGAATGAAATCATCTCAGAACCGTAAATGTGTGTGTTGTGTGTAGGGATGCAACAATACTACTTTTTTCCTAAGCGGTACGATACCGTTACTTGGATCTGAATATTCGCCGATACCGATTACCGATACTTCTACCACACAAAAAAAATGCAATGATTTGGAATACAGGTTTTATTTTCTTCTCTGCTTTCAACAGGAAAAGACTGTGAGGTGGATAAAAAGTAAAATATATGAATGGAAATCATCACAAAACTAAAATATTAGATGAACAGAAATGACAAATTACAGTGAAGCCATTTTCAAGCAACTGCATTGGTATCGGTTAACTTTTACCGATATCAATATCTTATCGGTATCTGTACCGATACCAGTATCGGTATCGGTGCATCCCTAGTTGTGTGTACATAACGTAAATTCAGCTTCAACAATTTTCATTCTATACAAAATCTGCTTATTTTTGAAGCATTAATGTCGGCATATCAGTTATCAGCCATAACAATGATCTTAATATTGGATATCGGTGTCGGCCCAAGGATTTCATATCTGTGCTTCACTAGTACCGGAGTTAGCCGTAGGGAACTTCAGCCCAAATTAAAAGAACCACATCCATAAAACTCCCTACATAAACATGTCCATGTGGTAAAAATGATGTCAAGAGTCAAGTCTAACGTAGACTTAAGTTTATAAGGTCACACATAAAAGGGCCAACGAGTTTATTTACTGAATTTCTCTTCGGGATTAATAAAGTATTTTTGAATTTGAACTGAATTTCTACAAATGTCCTGATGAATTTTTTTAGTGTGTTCTGATCCCATCTCACTAAATAAGCTTCAATCAGGATTGTTCTGTGCCAGATGTGATCAGTCTGCTTCTTTTATTCCACTGATGATAACTTACACATTTACATTATTTACTATAAACAGAATTAATTGTAAATTGATAATAAAAATCCATCAAAAAGTCAACCAGATGTATTTAAAACTTCAACAAAGGCTTGAAAACGACAAGATGGTTGAAAATTTAACCGAGTTGATTTTTAGGGAAACATTTTGTTTCTTTTACACCAATGATTGTTTTTGGCGAGGCGCCGACCGGGTCAGGCGCAGCCAGGAAACAACAAATGCAAATAAGGAGTCAAATATTTCTCCTGCAGGGGCCCAGCGTCGTTATTCCAGGTCTCTGCTCTAAACGAAGAAGTGATTTTTATTTGGATTTGGGATGTTTCTGCTCCCAGGGGTTAATCCAGCTGCTGGTTGTTTTTGTGCATGAATGGACTTATTCTTGGGGCTTTTGTTGTGAGTAAATATTAATACATCATTAATGTAGAAGCGGATCTGAAGGTTTGAAATTTCATTTAAACCTAAACGTTGGGTCTAAATGAATCGAGACAAATGTTCCATTTCTGACTTCTACCTGTAAAATCTTTATTTTCCTGTAATTTTCAGTGATTTATTTTCACATTTATTCACATCAAACTTCAGGATTCAAAGGAAAATGTTCAAACGTTTGAATACAGATGGCAGTTAATTTCCCTAATAATAATAATAATAATAATACAACTTTTATTAACTCTGTCTGTAAATAATTAGATTTGAAATAATTCCCATTAATTTTATATCTGAGTAAATAACAGCTTAAACTTCCTGCTTGTGTAAAATACAAGCGTGAAATAGAACTAACTAGAAATGCGGCTGGGAAAAACCAGCCTCTTCTTTGTTCAGCGGTTAACCGAGAGATCAGATCGGTTCTGATCAGGTTCTTCAGCTGATTCTGACTGGTCAGAACCAGGACCTGTATCCGAGGAGAGTGCAGCTTTGTTTTGCTCCTTGTTGATGTTGGAACTTTACCAGAAAAGGGAAACCTCGTCTGAGTTTTAAAGGACCAACATTGGAGGGGCGTGCGTAAGCGGTGTGCAGCTTGTAGAGAGAAGGACGTGTCTGGGTAGGTGCTAGGGTAGAAGGTCTTGTCTGGTGAGCTGACGGAGGTCCTGGTAGCTCAGTGGCTCATTGGCAAGCCAGACTAAATATATTATTTAGTGTTTGAAGGAGAAGAAGAAAAGTTTTCTATAGCGCCTCTCGATAAAAATCACGAGGCGCTTCACAAAAAAAATGTAAAATATAAAAAATTTAGAAAGTGATTACAAATATATTTAAAATGAGCAAAAAGACAATTGTGATTAAAAAATGTAAAGAGAGTGAATAGGAAAGAGGGAAATCAGTGGATCCTGGGGAAGGTGGAATAGGTGGGGAGAGCAGAACAAGGAGGGTGATGAAGGTCCCACCACAGCCTGAACAGGTGAGTTTAAAGGAGACCACTGAGTCCACTGATCTCAGGCTCAGGGGGAGAGAGGTCCAGAGTCTGGGGGCCACAGCAGCAAATGATCTGTCACCTTTGACCTTTAGCCTGGTGCTGCACAACCAGTAGGCTTTGATCACTGGACCTCAGGGACCTGCTGGGGGTGTAGGGACTAAGACGATCACCAATGTAAGATGGTGCTTGTCCATGTAAGGCCCTATAGACCAGAACCAGGATCTTGAAATGAACCCTGAAGTTGACTGTCAGCCAGTGAAGCTGGAGGAGAAGCGGGGTGATGTGGGTGTGTTTGGAGGACTTGGTCAGAAGCCGAGCACAGGCGTTCTGAACCACCTGTAGACGGTTCAGGGAGGTTCTGCTCAGACACGTGAAAAGAGAGTTACAGTAGTCTAACTGCTCCATTGACAGCTCTCGGTTGTGGGTCGGGTTCTACCGTTGTCTTTCAAACGATTGCCGTATACCACTGGACAATGAATATGTGACGTACTCACCGTAACGGACGTTGGTAAACGAGGCGGTCCGC